ATAAAGTGCAGGTTAGAAAGATGCTCCCTTTTCAGCAACATATTGATCATAAGGCTATTAAAAGGGACAATATTACATGCTACAGAATATTGAATAGCTTTGCAATTTTGCATTCATTAGTTCCAAAAACAGACATATGGGTATGAATGTTCCCTGAGCCAAAAGACAAACATTACTTTTTTCCCTGAAATTCCATAAAAAGGAACAAATCAAGGTAGCTGCTGATTTTTATTTTCTTTCCCTTCTGTTCTTGAGGGACGTTAGTAGTTTAGGAAGCATAATGTAGTCTGTGACATCTATCCATTTTCCTCACTGCTAACCATTGTCTGAAGATAAGGTTGTAATTCTTCATGCTCAAATATGCTAAATAAATAAGTGCCCATATGTATTAGCTATTCAAAAAACCTGACAAAAATATCTGACTTTTTTTAACCACAGGAAGTTACTAAATCCGTGCAACCTCTTTTACTGGGAAGAATAATTGCTTCTTATGATCCTTCTAATTCACTCGAACGATCAATAGCCTACTATTTAGCCATAGGACTCTGTCTTCTCTTCATTGTACGAATGTTGCTTCTCCACCCAGCAATATTTGGCCTTCATCACATTGGAATGCAAATAAGGATAGCCATGTTTAGTTTAATTTATAAAAAGGTATGTTTCCTATTTTGGTTAAATGCAATTCAAGAGTAATTAAACTGCATAGGAGATTGATAATAACATACTGTGGCCTCACATTGCTATAGTAATGAAAGCAAGAAGAATTTCTTTTTTGATGATCTACACTTAGTTTATTGTGCAATATCAGCAGAGGGTTAATTAATATTTCTTTGAAACCAACAGTAACCGAGAAAATGAGAGTAAAAGTATAAGTTATTACATAAGCTATATGACCATCATCCAATTTCCATAGTTGTAAGTAGAATGAAGCCTTCATGGAGCAATAAGGACTAATTTTCCTCATCAAGGAGAAAATCTGATTATGCTAGGAAAGAAGGTAGCTAATGAACCAAGAATGACAACATTAATTTACCATTACATATAAGCTATTCTATTGCACAAACCTAAAACAAAAAAAAACTGTATTTGTGTACAGTTAATTTCTTACAAATATAATAAAGTACAAAAAGAATCTGAAATTAAAATAAAACAGTCTCCAATCTAATTATTGCATCTACTGCCGTGTTTTCCCAAAAATAAGACAGGGTCTTATTTTCTTTTGACCCCTGAAATAAGCACTTGGCCTTATTTTTGGGGAGGTGTTATTATTTTTGAGGTGCAGGAGGCAGTGAGCGTGGTCACTTCATGGCTGCTGCTGTGTTGCAATATTTTTGGGAAGGGCTGATTTTTTTGGGAGGGCTTATTTTAGCATATGTGCTCAAAAGTCCAATTGGGCTTATTATCCAGGGAGGCCTTATTTTCGGGGAAACAGGTTATGAACTTATTATTTTTATTTATTTTAAAATCTACTTATTCCTTTCCCATAAATGGATGCACAATAAATAATAATACAATTAATTTACAATTACAAGCATAAAATATAAATTTCAATAATTTGGAACTAAAAACTAGTCTGTTTACTCTAAAAATCATAACTGGAAAGTATAGTTTAAAAAAAAGATGAATTTAGTTTGGAATTAAGTGCAAATTAGAGTTTTGTCACTTCAGATGCAATTTCTTGCATGGTTTTTGCAAACTGAAGAGAGAATCAGAATGGAAATGTAGGGATAAGATATTTGTCTGATACTTTATCTACACATACATTTAACTATACTTAAAAGATGATTAATTGTTTTCTAAAAAACAAGTCCCATGGTTTTTGCAAACTGAAGAGAGAATCAGAATGAAAATGTAGGGATAGGATATTAGTAAATAGCTTTTACTTCATTCCCAGATTATAAGGCCACCTAACTTTAACTGATGTTGAAATGTTGTTTTCAATTTCCTCCTGGCAGGAACCTCATAGTATTCATAATTTGTAGTTCTTAGGTGGTGATTGGTGATGATAAAATCAGGATCTATTGAAATGTTTTAATAGAGTAAACTCTTCTGAATATTGTGAATATTTATGAGTAACTATGTAATAGATGGGGGAAAGTATGTTTGTAATAAAACATAAACATTACATTGCACAGACAATGTTAGTATCTACTGATGTTGTTTTTATTTCTGTTTGTGCTATTATATGTGGTTAGTTGATAAACTTCTTTTGTTCTGTTTTACAGATTTTAAAACTCTCAAGCAGAGTCCTAGATAACATAAGTACTGGACAACTTGTTAGCCTCCTTTCGAACAATTTGAACAAATTTGATGAAGTATGTTGACAATCATGTTTATTATATTATTACATTATATTACATTATAATTCTTTGAAGGAGAAGGAATCAGTTCCAATCCATTATAATGTGCTTAACACCGCTGGAATTAAAGTAAATTATTTGCTATGGATAGGTTTGCAAGGGAATTGTCCTAAGCAAATTATAAAAAGCAGAAAAAAAAAACCCAATTAAAAGAAATTATTATGTATGCTAACAACACCACACTTGGCTGAATGTTTGGATCCAAGTTATCTGTTTGTATTACATTATTCTTGCTCTTTGAAGTGACTTCTTAAGCTATTAATAAACTCTGAGAATAGGATATATAATACTAAATCCATAACATTTATCTCTTGGATGTATCTATATTATATTTATATATTCCCCTATTTTAATGTTGATTTACTTTTGGAACAAGTGCTATATGTTCTAGTGCAGGGGTGGGTCTCAGCGGGACACACCGATATGGGCGAACCGGTTGGTAAAATTTAGCATGCCTTCCCGTACCTGATCTTCCAGAGGTCCCGTACCGGAACATTCCCTCCCCTGGCCTGCCCCTCTGCTCACTCCCTCTGCCTGTCCGCTCGCCGCTCGCTCACCCCGCCCATCCACACCATGCTTGCTCTGCCCACCTACTTCCTTTGCCTGCCCAGCCGAGGCGCCGAGGGGGCTTTTGCCATCGCTGAGAGCGTCTCTGGCAGCCACTTCTTGCAATCACTACCATGCCAGATTCAGTAAAGCAGCTCCATCAGCAACGGGACATGCTTGGAAAAGGGAGAGCCAGAACTGACTGCCCAGGATTGTGCTTCAGCTGCCGCTGTGAAAATGTTTGTTTTGCCAGCCACAGGAGGGAAGGAAAGTAGCTGTTCTTTGAAACAGCTCCCCCTCCAGAGAGCCGTGCCAGGGGAGAGGAGGGGGCGGGCTGGTTTGAATGCGGTTTGGGGCTGGCACCTCCTTCGCTCGTTTGGGCAGGAAGAGAAAGAAAGGGAGCATGTAATAAAGCACCCCCGCCATCAAGGGCAGAGGGGAGCATCTTCGTCCTCGGTTATCACATGCCTCCTTTTTTTCTCCGCCTGCCCAAACAAGCAAAGAAAGCAGGCCACTAAACTGCCCGCTCACCCACATTCAAACCAGCCTGCCCCCTCCTCTCTTTCGATATGGGCTCTCTGGTGGGAGAGGGAAAATCCCTCCCAAGACCTTGCTTGTCCTGGCGGCACCCTGGCAATAGCAGCTGAGCGAAGGAAAGAGCAATTCTGGGAGTTGAAGTCCACAATTGGACTTCCTGCCCAAAGCCTGAAACTATCTGCCCGGGATTGTGTTTCAGCCACCACAGCCACTTCTGCTGCTGCTGCTGCACTGCAGCCACCAGAGACTCCTTCCTCACCACCACTTTGTTTCGGGCCGAGAAGCAGAAAAAAAAGAGCAGCTCCCCTCTCCCCTGTCACTTTCCACAGCCTACACGCTATTCAGAGGGTGTGGGAAAGTGTCCCTGGGCTGCCCCTCCAGGAGGACCACTGCGTATCCTTCACAGATGGGAGGTTGAGGGTGCACAGGTGAAGAGCGCCAAGGGGTTTTGGCAGCGAGAGAATGACTTCAAAGTCAGTGGAGGTGGTGTGTGGCTGGTGCACCATTCCAACTTTCCCCGTGTGCAAAAAATAAAGTTTTAGTTTAAAAATAAAGTTTTAGGTTTTTTTGGGGGGGTTGTGAAGGATTAGGGGTGCAAGGGTCTTGTAACTTGACAGTTTTAGGTCCTGCACACTTCAAATGCCAGAGTTCCTCAGCCAACATGACTGGAGGAATTGTGGGAGTTGAAGTCCACAAGACTTAAAGCTGTCAAACACCCCTGGGTTTTTTTTCTAAAGAGTTAGGGATGCCAGGGTCTTGTAACTTGACAGCTTTAAGACTTACATGTTTCAAATGCCAGAGTTTCTGAGCCAACATTTTAGTTGCTAAGCAAGAGCGTTGTTAAGTGAGTTCCACCACATTTTACAAGTTAGCCACACCCACCCATTCACATGACTGCCAAGCCACTCCCACCCAGTCACATGACTCCCAAGCCACTCCCACAAAACAGGCCACACCTACAGAATAGGTTCTAAAAAATTTTGAAACCCACCACTGTCCTAGTGCTATTGTTTTCCTTGGCTAGCAGTAATTTAATAGCAGTAGGAAAATACAGAAAATTTGCTGGTTTTTGTGGATGATATTTAAATTGCTTAAACTTTAAGTAGGACAAAGGAATAGTTAACAGTCTTAGTGAGAGATTCTTCCTCCCACTATGCTTATGGAAGGGAGTGTTTGGTCAATAAAATCTTTTTCAGGCTGAGGTCAAAACAAACAAGAGCAGCATGGATATAATTTCTCACTAAAGTGGCCATACCATAAAGAATTTTGTACTTCACTGCCGAGATTTCTGCTAGAAGAAACTATAACTGTTTATGAAATTGTGGAATACAATTTTCTATTTCAGGAGTCTGAAAGTTGTTGAAGTTGCACTCCCAAGACACCTTTAACCAGGTTATTAAGTCCGGCTTAGATAAAATTCTGTGTTTTTATTCCCACATTTTGAAATCACAAAAGCAGATTTATCTGCTCCAGCTTGTGGTGTTTTTAGGAACAAAATAGGCATTATGACGGTGGTCCCATTACTCTAATTAAATATGAGAAGATCTGTACAAAGATCAGTGGCACAGTGTAAGACATTACTGCTGGTAATAGACAGGGATAAGGAAGGAAGTCTTTTAAGGCCACTATCACCACTACTGTTTGTCGTTGCACTGACTCCTCTGTCAATAATACTGAATAAGTCAAGTCATGACTCTCAAACATTAAAAACATCTGCCAGCCTATTCCACTGCCTTTACATGAAGCTGCATGGAAAAACACCATCTGAAATGGAATAGCTGCTCAACATTGCTGAATATACAGACAAGATAGTTCAATGGAGTTTGGATTGGACAAACATGCCACTCTTACCAGCTTCCATGTTGCTTTCTAAGTATAGTTTCCTTGTGCTTTCATTGTGATTTTTTCTTTCTTTCAGGGTCTGGCCTTGGCTCATTTTGTATGGATTGCACCTTTACAAGTTGTGCTGCTGATGGGGCTTCTCTGGGAGATGTTGCAGGCATCAGCATTTTGTGGGCTTGCATTCTTGATTCTTATTGTCTTTTTTCAAGCCTATCTAGGACGAATGATGATGAAATACAGGTGACAAAGCATATATGGGTAGTTTTCTCAAGTAGTAGTAGTCTTCAAATTTACCCGAATTTCAGCCAGTTTCAGTAATGGCAGTCCTGACAATCCCTGTTACCATCTTTAGTTGAATTCCACTGGCCCCATTAGCTGAGGATCCACCATAATCTAATCCATTCCATGTTTAGTCCCTCCCAACCTCGAGCCTTAGTTCTTATAAGATAAATGACTGCTTTTGCTGCAGTTCTCCCCAAATGCCTCTCCCCCCCCCACCCCATGTCTGCCCTTTTGGCCACCCTGCATCCTGCCTCGTATGGAGGCAAGCAGCCTCTTTTCACTCTGGAGCAACAAGAAGCCCTTGTTCTGTAGTGTGGGAAGTTCCAGCTGCACCAGAAGCATAGTGCAAAGCTCAGCCACTCCAGGTAGTCCTAGCTGTAGTCGTCCACATCACCCCGCACTCTGAACCCCCTGCCATCTTGCACTTTGCTGCCCCAGCTGGCCTTTGCTGTCTTCTTGCTGCTGCTGCTGCTACTGAGGCATGCCTCACCTATGCCCTTTATGAATCAGTTTCTGGCTACATCAGGTCATCTCTCCCAGGTTTCCTGAGGATCCACTATGTGTAAACTTGGGAAGAAAGCCTCACATGTCCAGAAGATGCGTCATGAAAGGCGGGGTGGGTATGCTTGGTCAGCAGTGGGAGAAAGAGGATGGTGAAACTCAGCAACGGCATCAGAGACTGCAGAATGCAGCCTGCCAAAAGGGCATAGATTGGGGGAAGATAAGAAGATAGACTTGAAGTACTGAAGCAGTTGTAAGTGTAAGTAGGCTACAAATGCCTGAATTTTGATCACATGACCACATGGGTGCTGCAATGCTCATAACTTTAAGGATTTAATCCTTTCGTTCAGCATCACTGTCACTTTGAACTGTTGCTGAATGAATGCTGTAATAAGGTACTTAAATAAAGCTTCTTAAATAAAGAAGCCAGAAAACTACCTTCAACACAGAGTAGGAAAACACAAGCAGAAGTCTGGTTATGGGCAAGACATGCGTAATTGGTGACCATATTCATAAAGGAAGAAACATCTTAAGAGTTTCTTCAACAGCTGAGCATTTTGTCTATTGTATCTGCCTGACCAAGAATATTTGGAACATTAACTCTGTTTCATGGGCAATGCATAGAATCTATATGTAATTTATATACTTGTAATTAAAGGAATAATGTCAAACAAGAAGTCCTGTCTTGACATGATACAATACAGTATATCTTCCTTCCTTGATTCCAGTAGCTATGCTTTGAGAAACTGGAAGTGGTTGAAATAAAGAACAAAATTTAGTTAAGTGGATAACTCTTTGACTCCTAAAAACTACAGTATATTTAACCTTTTGTGGGGCAAAAAGACTTAAACCCACAAAGGAAATGTTGTGGCACAGGTAGGAAGAACAGACGAATTAATTGTTGATGGTCCCCGCTGCATCTTTTTTTAAAATTAAGCAAGTCCTACTTTAGGGTTTACGCCATACTTTGCATGCTTTTTCAACTTCCAAATGGCAAGGGGCATGAGTGATTGTTGTACTGTAAGATACTTCCCCTTAGGTACAACAAAACTTATACTCGTACTATTCTTATTTGCTATTTCCACATGGTGTTCAATATACTTCTAAATGTTTATTGTTACATGTTATTCAGGAAAAACATTTCATGGACTTAGTGTAAACACACACAAGGTAGTGTTTTTTTAACATATATACATAAAGTTACTGTTCTCAAATAAATTATTGGTTTTTAGCTCTGTAGTTTGCATTGTGTTTTACATAATGGCACATCTCTACCAATGCAGCTTTTTAAAACTGTTGGAGAATCATTTGAACAGTGTCAAAGGACATTTTAAGAATTTTTTGGAACTTGTTATCAGAATAACAAACAAGTGCAATTTTCTGTACACTTCTATTTTATGGAATGAACCTTATTGATACCATTAGTATGTTGTGTGCGATGTTTACCAGATTTTCAGTATGATAAGTATTAAATACAGAACATAATTATCTACAGAGATCAGCGAGCAGGAAAAATCAACGAAAGACTTGTAATTACCTCAGAAATGATAGAGAATATACAATCAGTAAAGGCTTATTGTTGGGAAGATGCAATGGAAAATATGATCGAAAATCTGCGACAGTAAGTATTTATATTTGTCCATCTTACATGCATGGCATATATGTTGCATAACCCAACAATGAAATAAAAATTTAGTTTGTAAGATAATAATTGCCAGTTTATCCTTGTAATAAAACTGTTGGGTCATGCTGATCCAAACAATTATTTTTAGCTGGTGTGCTGTCTGTCTTTGTCTATGTTACAATGGCCTATCTGAATAATAATTTTGCAAAAATCACTTAACCCAGGAGTGTAACCCAGTTCCGAATAAGCAATGGCCCAGCAGTGGGCCAACAGCCCCTGGTTGAGGACACCCGATTTAGATAGTGTAGAAATGTTTTGAATTTCATATAATCTGAAACTCCAATATACAGAACAAAATGAAACTTTAGCCATATGCAATTTATTCTGAGATTGTTAAAAAATAATGATATAAATGGAAACATTTTAAACTTGAGCCCTGTTTCCAATTTCCTTCCCTTCTTAATTTTTTGGAGGCCAGCCGACTTTTTAGGCGCTGCTGTCATGGAACTGTAGTGCAGGGATCTCCAATCCCCCAGTCCATGGACTGGCAATGGGCTGTGGCATACCAGAAACTGGGCCCCGCAAACAAGTGAAGCCCCATCCATGGGATGCAGGCAGCCTCCTCTGGTCCACTGGAAAACCTCTCCTCGCGGAACTGGTCCCTGGTGCCCCAAAGGTTGGGAACCACTAGTCTAGGGAACATATTTTTAGATTTTCTTTAAGGTGTTTTTTTAAACTATATTGTTTGACAGGATTTTTATTTTTAAAAGGATCCCAAATGTCAATGGAGCAGAAAATAATCATTTGTTCACATTCATGTTTAATTCTACCCCTATGCTGAAAAAGTTTGACAAATAATAAAAGCCCATATTTGTGAATAGATATTTTTCTCAGACTTTATATCTGGGACTATATTATTTGCTATTTAGAATTATATGAGTCATTTCCATAAATATTGTATGATTACTCTATGTTTACCCTTTGGAACGATCTCCCCGTGGAGATTCGTACCCTCACCACCCTTCAGACCTTCCGCGCAGCCCTCAAGAGCTGGCTATCCCGTCAAGCCTGGGGGTAAAGATTATAATTCGCCCCCACCCAAATGCTGAATGAATGTTGTTTATTCTTTTAATTACGTGTTATGTTATATGTTACTGTATGTATCCCCTCCCATATAAGTTGTTAGCCGCCCTGAGTCCCCTCAGGGAAAAGGGCGGCCTATAAATAAACTTATTCCTATTCTAATTCTAATTCTTTAATAAATAGTTTATTTGTTTTGCAGAACTTATTGTAGAACTGGGTGTGCCATTATATTCTGTTTTTTTTTCCAAAAAGAAAACTTGGAGACTTAGTATCTAGTTCACAGTGTACAAATTATAAATAATAACTGCAGTTAAAATTTATTAGGGACTCTACTTCTTTAGAAAATAGAAAGAATGCTAAAATTGCAACCAGATTAAATAAATGTTCTAAGGAAAAAGACATTTCAATCTAATTTAAAGATCCTGAATATCTTGAAATATTGCAATACAATATTTAAGAATGAAAGGAATAAAAGGAGTTCAGAATAGAACTGGAAAAGTGTTGGCAGTGAGGGTCTAATTGGTATTTATCAAAATATTTTAATGGATGTATACATTGTCAGCATTAAATTGTTTTTTTAAAGTAATAGCTATTTCTAACTTTCAGTCATTAAAATACCAGTCTCTTGTTTCAAATTTGTATTCTATTTAACTTTCTCATTTACTTTTTCCAAATTGTCCATGAATTTATATCTTCACTGTTTGACTTATAATGATTCACTAGTACTAATGATTATTTCAGTACTAAAGATATTTAAATGGAGGAGTGTCCAACTGATCATGTATTACTAGATATTGCTATTTAGAATAACAATAATATTTCATTTTACATGACTTATTTCTCTCCATGGAAACCAAATCAAAATCATTTAATTGTACCTGGTTTAGGCATAATCCTGAGGCAAAGAATTTTCCACTCCTATCTTATCATGTTCCAAATATCAAGAGTGAATTTGATTTGCTGTCTTTTTGGTCAGATATTTAGTTCTGCAATTTTTTTTCTAAAACTCTTCATAGTCTTCTTTAGCGCTTGACTGGTTATATCAACTCAAGGGTACTAAAATCTCTGGGGAAAGAGCTTTTCTTCTCAATTCAACCTTGATGGTACAAACTCTTTGAATGATTAACTTCCTATTACTACAGCATTATGCTAAAGGCTGTTTTAAAACAAAATATACTGCTTTCTCTAAGGTAATAAGGAGTTTTGTTGTTTCCTGAACTTTTGCACAAAATCCCTTGCATTCTAACAAGTTAACGGGCAAACATTTACTATGCTTTCCTTCTCCAGTTAATATGTATTTCAAGACTCCTCTTTCTAGAAGTAATGCAAGGAGATAATTTCTCAAAATGCTTTGATTATTTTATTTGGCAGTATTTAGTTTGAAAACTTTAGCTCTAGAATCTTTTCAAAGCCATATTAGAGATAAAGTAAAATAAATTTTAAGACAAGAGAAATGGGAAGTTACTTTCATTGTTCTTGTTTCTTTTTATAATGTATCACTCTTCCTTAGCACAGACATACCCATATTTACCCAGGGAAAATAATTATTCTGGCCTTACCCATAGATTCTTTGGCTTATATGATTTTCTAAAATCCCTAGCATTTTGACAGCAAAACAGATATAGTACCAAATACAATATGTCATAACCTGCCAGCTACTGTATATCTAAATGATGGTTTCAGTGTAATTTGAAGTTATAGAGCTGCACTGTGCCTTAGAAGGTATAGTGTTGTTGTAGCAGCAGTTAAAATATTGATTCAAGCAAACTATAGGATTGAGGCAAAATTTTTGAATTTAAAATTCCCACTTAGCCCTAAAGCTTACTGGACAATCTTTTTGTCAACTTCTATTACTCAGTTTCATTGTTATGAATAAAAAAGGACAACTTAGGTATTATACCTAAGATGCCAAAGGGAGGATGAGATGCACATTAAATAAAATATAATTTGATGAAGGATTGGCAGTTGCATTTTTTAACATAGTTCCAATACACATTCCAAACTAGTGTAACTTTCAAAACTTTCTTATTTGTATTCATAATTGCTTCATATTTTAGAATTATGCCATTCTAGATGTAGAATTTCAATTTTTGTATTGGATTTTCAGTTTTTGCCTATCATTTTACAGAAGTGAACTGAAGCTGACTCGAAAAGCTGCTTATGTGAGATACTTCAATAGTTCAGCTTTCTTCTTCTCTGGTTTTTTTGTCGTATTTTTGGCTGTCCTTCCATACGCACTGAACCATGGAATTATACTTAGAAAAATATTTACTACCATATCATACTGCATTGTTCTTCGAATGACAGTCACTAGACAATTCCCTTGGGCAGTGCAGACATGGTATGATTCTCTTGGAACAATAAACAAGATACAGGTATAGTATTTAAACCTAATTCCTTGAAAGTTATAATTTATTATTTTGTGGTGTTTTATTTTGCCAATTTATCATACAAAATAGGGTATTATTTTACTGACTTTTATTAAATGCTATTTGGGAAACTAGTTTTAACTGAGCAGACAAAAATTCCACAGGAGGGTGTTGCAGATGATGTGGGTAGTGATAGAAAAAGCCCAGAACTGAGGCTTCATTAAATTACCGTACTGGACTAGGAGAGAGTTGATGCTATATAGTAGTGGTCTCCAACCTTGGCAACTTTAAGACCTGTGAGGAACTCTGGGAGTTGAAGTCCACAGGTCTTAAAGTTGCTAAGGTTGGAGACCACTGCTATATAGTATATGGCTGGATAGGTAGATGATTGCCAAAGGAAATGGTGTCTTGGATAGTATTATAGTATTGTAAGTGACAAATAGCACCTTGAATCATATTCAGAAGCTCATAGGCAACTAATGGATCTCCCAGAGCTGACCTAAATATATCGGGACACACTCATTATATTGTCTCACAGATGGGTCCTAGAGCCTCCCTACCCCACCAGTTATGGCAGAGTAGATATATTGCAGGTATTTTCTGTGAAACCATGTCATCTAGTGGAATCGGTCAGTGTGTTTAGTTTTTCTAATGTCTGCCCTATGGAACAGCCTCATCTCTGGATTCAGATGGCCTCAACCCTGTCAGTCTTCTGGAAAGTCTTGAAGACCTAGCTCAAATGCAGAGATCCCCATGCTAGTTGAGACCAGTACTTGTGGCCTGTTCTGTATTTTGAGAGCACTTGGTGGAGAACTTTGGTTGATGTTAAATTCTTTGTTATTTCATGACTTTATAGTGTGGTATTTTTATGCATGTGTTTTGTTAACTGCCCAGAGTTATTTCATTAAAATTGGCAGCCACATAAATTTGTTAGGGAGAAGAAAAATGCTGCCTCTTTCCATTCCAATGGTAGCTTCTTTATAGAAACGTAGAAAACTGACAGCAGAAAAAGATTTAGTGGTTCATTGAGTCTTCCCTTTGAGTTTTTTTAATTTTTTATATTTTTGTCAGATAATGGTCATGTGTTTATCTCAAGCATGTTTAAACTCAGATGATTGACCCACTACCTCTGCTAGATACTGGTTCCAAGCCCCCACTATTCTTTCTCTGATAAAACTTTCTAACATTACTTTTGAACTTTCCACCTATCATTTTGCTTAATATTGAAAATATCTGCTATATAGAACCTTATTCATATTAAAATATTTAAAGATTTCAACCATGTCCCACCCGCTTTCCCTTATTCTTCAAGGATAGACCCAAATAGAGCACATTACTAGTCCAACTATTGTAATAGGAAGCGACTATGGCATAGTTTGGGTTAATAGAGGTGAGTTTGGCTGGTTCATATTTTTGACTTAAGAAGTAATAAGAATTCAGATATAATAACAGTTTATATAATGACATTTTCCCACCATATCATGGCACAGCTTTCAATATACATTTTCATTGGAGTAGGTATGCTATTTATAGTTATTCATTTCCATCTTTTAATTAACATTATTTGGTGTGAGAACTGGAAAATAAAAAAGAAGCATTTAAATATGCAAAGTTCAGTATGTTATATGTTTTTAAAACTCTCACAATTAAATTTACAGGATTTTTTGCAAAAAGAAGAATACAAAACACTGGAATATAATTTAACAACCACAGGGCTTGAACTGGATAAAGTAACAGCTTTTTGGGATGAGGTAATACTACAATTTGATTATTGTTGCATGACACCATGCCACACTCTAGGAAGGCTGACAGCACTCACAGAATAGTTTCACCCTTAAAATATGACAATATTTAATGACTTTGGCAATAGTATAAAAATGGACAGATTAGTATGTAGCAACAGTTGGAGCTACTTCAACTAGTTCATTATTACTAAAAGAAAATGATTTGCAGTCTAACAACACTAATAAGTAGCATTATTGTTATTATATTACAATCCTCTCCATGTCAGAGTATAAGATGAATTAAAAAATGTGCTACAAAATTGCTTAATTGCCAGCAGTGTATTTATAGAGGGAGGAGGATTCTGTCCTAAATCAAAAGATAATTGAACTTACAGCATTTTAAAAAAAGCATATATAAACAAACACATGGTACAGTCTCACTGTAAACTAACTACTAATTCAGATATGCCAGATATTTTGAAAATAACAACAACAAAAGAAATAATTTTGATGGGATAAAGAAATGGACAAAGGATATGAAGTAAATATTAGAAGGAATGGCAGAGGGCTATATTGTCTCTCAGCCAAACCACCTATAATAACAATATCATTATTGTGATAAAAATAGGAGGTGGGAACATTATATATGACAAATGTCCAAAATGTAAAGTCAGATATAATCAAACAAGCCTACATTACTCTTTGGTGTTTTACAATTTGAAGGATTATCTTTCTTTCTTTTCTTTCAGGGAAGTGGAGAGATCTTTACAAAAACAAAACAGGAGAACGATAATAATAAGATGTCATCAACAAATGGTGGTCTCTTCTTCACTAATTTCACTCTTCATTTTACTCCTGTCCTTAAAGACATCAACTTCAAGATTGAAAAGGGAGAACTGCTTGCTGTTGCTGGATCTACTGGAGCAGGCAAGGTAAAAAAAATCCCTGATTGCTAAAATATAAACATGTTAATTCATGTTAAAACATGTTTTTTTTTTACTCTTATTCTGCTCAATAGTTTTTCATACTGTGCCTGACTTCATATTTATTTCCTTGCTAAGTATGTCAAAAGGAGTAAATTCTGCAAAGAATTAAGGAAATCAGATTTTGGTGCTTGCATTTGTTTTTGACATATATTCTCAATTGTTGATATATGCTGATTGCTAGTAGATTATTATTTCCAATTAAAGTAGATTCTTGGTATTTGATTTTGGAATATGTATTCCATAGCTTTCTGAAGATTTTTCAAACTAATATTGAAATAAAATGCTCAAATAAATATCACGGAATGCAAGACCAGCACAGATTATTTATATAATATAATGATATTAAAATTAATCAATTGTATTTTTAAAAGGCACAGGTAAGCATCAGATTTAGAGTTTACATTTTCACATTTTTGCATTTCTTTTGCCTTTTAAAGTTGAAACATTGCAATTAAATGCTAATATCTAGACCAGAGGGACGCGGTGGCTCAGTGGCTAAGACGCTGTGCTTGTCGATCAGAAAGGTCAGCAGTTCAGCGGTTCAAATCCCTAGTGCCACGTAGCCACGTGAGCTCCCATTACTTGTCCCAACCTAGCAGTTCAAAAGCAAGTAAAATGCAAATAGAAAAATATGAACCATCTTTGGTGGGAAGATAACAGTGTTCTGTGTGCCTTCGGCATTTAGTCATGCCAGCCACATGACCATGGAGACATCTTCAGACAGCACTGACTTTTCGGCTTTGAAACAAAAATGAGCACTGTCTCTTAAAGTCGGGAATGACTAGCACATATGTGCAAGAGGAATCCTTACCTTTTCTCTAGACTAGGGGTGTCAAACTCGTGTCATCACGACGGCATCACATGATTTATCAGGACTTTTTTCCCCTTTGCGAAATCGGCATGGGTATGGCCAGCACATGATGCATCTGGCTTGCGGGCTGCAAGTTTTACAGCCCTGATCTAGATTGTCTTTCCTGAGTTTTTAATAATTGTACATTTTGAGCTCTGCTAGAATTAAGCAGACATTTAAACATTTATTTGATATTGTTTTAAAGATTAAATCTGACTTTGGTATGTTACATTAGTCTACAAATAGCAGAATAATAACAGTTAAGTTTAGTAGAACAATGTATATGTTGTACAGACCTAATGAACATATATTAATTATTGCTAACATTCTTAATAATAGACTTCTCTTCTAATGCTGATCATGGGAGAGTTGGAACCTTTAGAAGGTAAAATCAAACACAGTGGAAGGATTTCCTTTTGCCCTCAAGTGTCATGGATCATGCCTGGAACAATTAAAGAAAACATAATATTTGGTGTTTCTTATGATGAATACCGATATAAGAGTGTCATCAAAGCCTGTCAGTTAGAAGAGGTCAGTCTTCAATCTTCTACATTTTCTTCATGATTATAAACAAATTACTTGAAGACAAAATACAATAAAAATTAATTGTAGCACATTATGGAAAATACAGTGTAACTTTTAAATAATTAAAACATGTCTATAACATGTATGGGGTTATATGAACCCCATACATGTGCCATTCACTTCATTGTTGTAGCTATATTTTTTGTTGTTGAAAAAAGGCAATTTTATTTCTTATGCTGATCTTATAAATGGAGCAATGTGTATTAAGATCATAGAACAATCTACACAGAAGTAGACTAAATATTTCTAAATAAAGAAATGAATATTTCTAAATAAAGAAATGAATATTTCTAAATAAAGAAATGAATATTTCTAAATAAAGAAATGAATATTTNTCTAAATAAAGAAATGAATATTTCTAAATAAAGAAATGAATATTTCTAAATAAAGAAATGAATATTTCTAAATAAAGAAATGAATATTTCTAAATTACAATGAACGTAAAGTTACTTTAAAAAACAAACACCCCATTTTTAGAAATATATAGTTATATTTAAGTATAGCTTATTAAAAGTATGATCTGAAAGAAGTAGTATCAAGAAATATTACTCTGAGCTATTATATGATAGTCTGCAAGATATTAATGTGTATACCTGAAGAAGAATTGGTTGGTTGTGTTTTATAGTATACTAAAATATTGCGGTTTCATGAATAAACCCTATTGTCAGGCACTCTGCTTTGTGATCCTGCTACCAAAAGTGATAAGTAAACTATGTCACAAAGTCAAATGCATGCCACTTGGTTGCTGAATATGGTCTGCAAAGAAAAGTATTAAAAAAAACTTCAATATGTTAAATCAAAGGTTCAGAGACAGAGCCTGATTCATGTATCACTACAATGCTAATTGTAGGAACAGGTGGTGGTCATGGCTAGAAGATCTCTGAGCATCTGTGGGTTGTGCATCAGTTATGCCCTTTCCTGGACTAATAATCCTCACGTCATCCATGCCTTAGTCACCACCTATTTTGATTACTGCAATATACCCTACATGGAGCTGGCCTTGAAAGTATCCAGAAACTCCAATTGGCTCAAAATGTGGTGGCTCAATTTTGTGAGACTCTAGATTTGCGCATCTGTTACCTCTTCTACAGAGGCTACATTGGCTGCTGATTTCCTTCTGGATCCAATTCAAGGTATTGGATTTAAAACAGGGGTGTCAAACTCATGTCGTCATGGTGACGTCACATAATGTATCAGGACTTTTTCCCTTTCGCTAAACCAGGTGTGGGCGTGGCCAGCAAGTGGTGCATCTGGCCCATGGACTGGGAGTTTGACATGCCCTGAGATCAATTATTATCTTTTCACAGTTATCTCAACCAGAGTGCAGAGGCAGGATTTGTTTCAAGTCCCCACTCTTAAAGAGCTCCATCTGGTGGGATCAAGAAGGGCCTTCTTTATGGTAGCATTCTTCCTATGGAACATCATGCAAAAATAAATGGCCCTCAGTTTGACATCTTTCAAAAGGCCCTGAAAACATAGTTTTGTCAATGACCCTGGGAATCTCATGGTGATATGGAGCCAATCGTGAGGTTGGTTTAATTGTTCGGCAAGGAATGGTGGGAAATTATTGGCTTTTATATTGGGATTTATTTCTGTAAGCCGTCCAGAGTCACTATATGTGAATTTACTAACCATATAAATTTTATTAATAAATAAATACAAAACTCATTTATAGTGCTGTACAATTTGGACATCTTATAGTTCTGATGTCATCTGATAATCCACATAAAGCCATGCATACAGAAAGTCAGATAAGCTGCTGTATATTTTAGGAATTGGACATACCAGTTCAAAATAAGTTTACAGTGTGATATCCAGTACTATCCCATCTCCTTTTTTGCTCATGTATTACACCTGCAAGATAGTGCTGTCATATTTAAATGCGTTCTGGAAATATCCTGTTTTTGAAAGTCATTCGTGTTATATATTGTCAAGTGAGTGGTTATGTAATTTCTCCTCCGTTCATACCTCAGTTATTTGGCATCTTGGATTAAGACATTTATTCATTGAAAGATTGACTGGTGTGCAATCTGTTCCTGATAAATTTATCATCAAATTTCTCTGGAGCAATTACAGGAGATGTGTCAGGTACCGCATTTTATCAAATGCAATTATGCACTTACGAAAGCAGAAGAAAATAGTTTACATAACTTTCTCGGTCTGAGATATCAGGAGAAAATGTTCGTTCTGTAATGTGGAATGAAAGCATATTTCAGAGGGTGTAGTACTTTATTAGTTTTTGATTTTGTGCGTAAGAAATGTGGTATAGGTTTCAGTACAAAAATACTTTGAGCTAGAATTGGGAATACTTAAAGGTGTGTGCTGTTTAACTATGAATCACCTTATTATTTTGTGAAATAGGTTTTATTTGGATACAATACAATACAATAGTAGAGTTGGAAGGGACCTTGCCTAGGAAGGAAACCCTATACCGTTTCAGACAAATGTCTATCCAACATCTTCTTAAAGGGGTGCTTTCTTTTTGCGAACTCATCTTAAAGTGTTTCTGGAAGTAGAAAAAAGCAAGGACAACATGAATAAACATTTAAACCTTGGGACTTAATTTAATATAGGTTCTAATGAGAATATAATAAAAGTATCCAAATATTCCAAGTGGGATGAATTTCAGTTAACACGTAGACAGAAAACAGAATGACAGTTACCCATCCAAGATGAGTGGAATGGAATAGAACAGAGTGGAGTGGAGTAGAGTAGATAGAAAAATAGAATAGAATAGATTTTTTCCTAATTCGCAATCAATACAGTTGGCCTTACTTCTAAGTTACCTCTTTGTATCTGAACTTTAATTTATTGATTAAACCCAAGAAATACTGGCGGCTTCCATATAAAGGGTTTTCATAATCAGGACATGTTTCTATTCTAATACAGATATTTAATAACAGCTGTGCTCACTATGAATATGAATTGTTAAAAATACATTTATGACCAAGGGTTAATACTCTTATTGGGATAACTCAAGTTTTACATCAATTGCAAACTTTTGAGCTTTGCACAGGAAAAGTTTTGATAGCTTGTAAAGTTACACATTTTCAAATGGTTAGGAACTACTCTTGTAGTTTTGTGATTTTGATGCTGTATTTTTAATGAGTAAAGCTTCTTGAATATGGATTGGTTTTTTTTAAAAAAAGCTTAAACTAGACTATAAAAAAGTCTAAGTTGTGTTTAAATTGCTGTGAAAAAATATGCTGAAAAATTGTTTTGACATGAATACAGTCATACAGTAAATTCCTTTTCTCCTCCTCTAATTACCTTTATCCACACCTTCCTATTTTTCCTGTAGCCAATTTGGGCATGTGGCTCTGGAGCCCTAAATTTAATATTAATCTATAGACTGCCAATATTTAAAAACTTTTTCTTTATTCATTGCCTAGAATTTTCATACTATCTTTTTCTTTATCATTTTCAGATTGAATTGAGTATTAAATTCCTTACAGCGTTATCTTGCATTTTTTCATGTTGCTAACTTATGTTTGTAGCGTGTAGACTGTTTTATGGTTTACAGTATTTATTTACCAATTTCATTGATACCCCAGTTCAATCCTAAAGGATGTATCTGTTAACTTCAAATATCATTTTATAAAATATATTGATTGGTTAGTAAATTATAGTTTGATTTTTTTTACTTAATGTGTGCATAATTCTATTTAATAACATATAATATTTGATCCCAATAGAATTATCACAATGTTACTCTACAGATGTTTAGGATTATTTTCCATTTATGTTAAGATTTATTTTTGATAAACATGAAAACACTAGTATAAGACAAAAACCTAAGCGCAGTGTGAATATATTAATCCATTCAAAGGAAATGTATAAAGTAATTTCAGGTCTATCAAGACTACTTGTTCTTAAGAGTTAATGTTAGCTCTGTATTAAAGACAACATCCTTTCAATCAGTTGAAATGTAATGTTGGGAATGGGTCTATATCTCTGTCATGTTCCTACAAGCATCTCAAGGCTTTTAGTTGGCCATTGTGAAAAGCAAAATTCTGAATTACTGGTAAAATATGTTTTTACTGGTACAGGAAGGCTGTTATAAACTTAGTCATGTGAGCAACAATACTTTTGGGTAATCCAGAATGTATATTGGTTTTGCAAAGTAATTATACTATTATAGGCAAATATTTCAGATGACAAAATGCCATAATAAATTGTTTAACTGAATAACATTGTCTTGTTAGTATACTGTATAATAGACTTAAATTGCAGTTCTTTGAAATAGAATTTATGACTCTAATTTATGTTATGCAAGAGTGTTAGTATTAAGATCAACACTAAAGTCATGTTGAAACCTCTACTCACACACCTTTGGTAAACATACATTGTGGTTTGGGAATCTTTAGCAGTTGATAAACAACAATGTTTAACTGTGTACTCAGGGAGTCTTTAGGTATTGAAATTCAGGTGCTGATTTTTTCATTGCACAGATTACAAAAATCAGATATGGGAATGTGGAAAGAAAGAATTATAGTAACTGTTGGCTTGTTTTATTGAAAATGAAACGACGGACTAAAGCAGTAATAATCAGGCTTGTGCAGTTTATCAATATCTGTCTGTCTGTCTATCTACTATCTATCTATCTATCTATCTATCTATCTATCTATCTATCTATCTATCTATCTATCTATCATCTATCCTTAATTGACATATTTGATTTATTGATTATGTACTAGCAAGCTTGCATTAACTTTTAGTCATCATATATATCATTCCCCAAGCTGAACCTTCAGGTTTTCCAACAATTCAAGTGTCACTGCTGTAATTGAGTCCACCTATCTTGTCCCTCCATCTTAGTGAGTTATGATTGCCTTCTCCTACACAGTATGAAATGATGCCTTTAATGTTATCATTAAAATGATCACCCAGATCTAGTAGCTTCTTTTATTACCTCTGCCTGCTATATTGTAAGTGCCTGCCCTTTTACCTGGGCAACTGGGCAACTGAGATAAACTTCATGCCTTGAATGACCCTGCTGGAAATACATTGCCATATATTCTCACTGTTCTTCATTCATCCCTTCTGGAACAGTCCTGACCTCACCACTGCCATCATCCCACAACTCCCACAAACAGTCACTATGAGGCAATATAGCAGAACTTCAGAGGGAACACATTTCTAGAGTTTAATTAAAACCAGTCTCTTAAGAACAAAGCCTGTTCTTATAGAACCTCATATGAAATTACTGACTTTGTCACTAAATGAATATTAAATGTTATCAATGTAATGCTAGATATAAAACAAAAAGAATTCAGGAAATATCACAAATCAGTAGAAAATGTAATTAAAGGAAAAGTAATTTACCTATGTCATTAGTTCCAGAGAAGAAGTCCAAGACTTTTTCAAAGGCAATTTCTAATTCATCAGCCCCTTGGGATTCCATGAAAGTGTCAAACAGAATGTGCCTAGGAGTGATCATTAGCTATTATACATCAGAATACTGCCAAGAATATCTGTCAAGCATCACGTGAAGCCTACTTAATAAACTAAGCATTGTGGGAGAAGAGAACTGTTTTTTCTCTGGTTTAGAAATTGTTGAATTACAGCAAAACAAAGTTTAAAAACAAGTTGTTATTGTAATAAAAGGAAGGAATTAGCAGATTCCAGATGGTTACATAAATAGGGCTGGAGTATTATCCTATTCAAAAAAGTTCAAGGGTCAAATATTATGTTGAGTCCCATTAGCTAAAATTTAAATACAAGCAATCTATTAATGGCTAATGCAAATATGAAGTGATGTGAATGTTGACAAAATGAAATAAATAATGAATTCACTGTACTGATAATATTCAGATTTACAATTGCTAACAAAAAATGTTTTGTTGCTATGTTGTATCTATAAACAAAACAAATTTTATGCTATAAGTTTTTGGAAAAAAGTTTGAGCATACAGTTTCATGTAATGATTGCCTTACAATTGTCATTCTTTCATTAGAAGCCATATGTCATTTAGCCTATTATAACCTATATTAACCTGAAACATGTGTATAATAATTTAAAAATGAGTTACTTCATTTTATTTTGGTCTTCTATACTTTTTATTTATGAATTATTTATGACATTTTATTAAGGTCTATGGGACGCGGTAGCTCAGTGGCTAAGGCATTGAGCTTGTCGATCAGAAAGGTCGGCAGTTTGGCAGTTCAAATCCCTAGTGCTGCATAATGGAGTAAGCTCCTGTTACTTGTCCCAGCTTTTGCCAACCTAGCAGTTCAAAAACATGTAAAAATCCAAGTAGAAAAATAGGAACCACCTTTGGTGGGAAGCATTCTGTGTACCTTCGGCATTTAGTCATGCTGGCCACATGACCAAAGAGACATTTTCAGACAGCGCTGGCTCTTCGGCTTTGAAACAGAGTTGAGCACCACCCCCTAGAGTCAGGAACAACTAGCACCAGGGACGTGAAGTCACTAGAGGCAAGGGAGGCGTGGCCTCACCAGTCATGAGGAAAAGAAAAAGAATTTTAAACAATTTTTTAAAAATAGTTAAAGCCAAGGTAGTTGCTGCCAGATTCACAGTGACTTGGAACAGTGCTTTGTGTTAACCATAGGAGGAGGCCAGAGAAATAGGAGCCTCCTGTGCATAAGGAATTTTTCGCCTTTTAAGAGTTAAGCAAGGGTTAAAATGCGAAGAATTCCTTATGCAAATGAGGCACGTATTCTCTCGCTTCCTGTAAAGGGCATTTTTAGAGGCTGTTTAGAGTTCTCTGGGAGCAACTAGCTCAGTCTGACAGAGCTCTGGCCTTTCATGAGGGGAGGGCAGGGTAGGGCAGGCAGAAGCAGAGTTGAAATCATCTCTGAAACAGCTGGAAAAGGTGCGTGTGTGGGGAGGGGGAGGAATTCAAAAAGTTTGATCGGAAGGCAGCAGGGGAAGGGGGGGTATGGCAGAGGAGCTGCTTTCAAGCCTTTGGAAAATATATCCAATCCAACTTCTGTGTTTGTTTTTGAGAAAGTGAATGAGAGAGGGATCGAAGTTCTCTGTGTGCGTGTGTCTGTTTGAGAGAGGGGGGAGGGAGGGAAAGAGGGAGGATGGAGGGGGAGGGAGAAGAAAAAGAATGGGAAAACTTATTTTGCAAGGGGGGAAAATGCTGTTGCTTTAAATCAGAACTGAGCATGCCTGGCTGTGGAATTCGGGGAGTTGAAATCCACAAGTCTAAAAAGTGCCTCACCAGGCCTAAAGCTGACCGCATGTCACTGACTAGCACATACTGTATGTGCAAGGGGAACGTTTACCTTTATCTATGAGTTTTACTCTGAGGTATTTTATTATTATAATCATTGGCTCTTGCTCAGTCATGTGAAAAAAATATTTCCAAAAGAAGAAAATATATGTAACTCAGGACTGGACTGTAGAGTCCTTGGTGTTTTCCAAGCTTGGTTGTTATGTGCAAATGTTTTATTACCCAATTGATAATAACATTGCTGTGATTGAGTGCGGGGTTTGCTATACATCTTCTTAGCCTAAAACAATACCATTGTTATGAAAACTTACCATTCTGTTTTTTTTACCTAAGATGCTGTATATTGAAAAGTAATGTTGCTCTGAAAATGGAAAATTAAGATCTTTATACAATATTTCAATAGGATATTTCAAAGTTTGCAGAGAAAGATGACACAGTTTTAGGAGAAGGTGGAATAACTCTCAGTGGAGGTCAACGAGCCAGAATTTCTTTAGCTAGGTGAGTGGAAATAATTGTATGTGGTTTTTAATAAATAGAATTAAATTTCACTTGTTCTTAAATACATGTTAAATATTTTGATTTGTAAAATCAGAATATTGTACCATTTAGTTTAATGGAACTCACTTTTGATGAATGGATATATAAGATTAAAATTTAATATTACATAATTCCTGTATTTTAAAGTTTTATAACTGTCGATTGCTGCATTTTGCCTATTTCTTGTTTAATTGAATGAAAGAATTTGCTTTGGTTAAATATATTTTATCTCATATAACAATAATTCAAGATTGTAATTAAAGCAAAATAATTAATCAAAACAGTATTTAGGTTTTAGCATATATCTTAATGAAAGCTAATTAAATTTCTTTCTCATCTATTTAGAGCAGTGTATAAAGATGCTGATTTGTATCTCTTGGATTCTCCTTTTGGTTATTTAGACATGTTAACAGAGAAAGAAATATTTAAAAGGTAGGATATGTTTTGATATATTTGGTTAACTACTAGATAAAATGATATTGTACAAGGACATAGCAAATGATTTATGAAGAGCAGTGTTGGCATCCAGTAAAAACATCTAATAGAGAACATCAGTTTAGGAAATTTGTACTTGTTAAATTATTTAAGGGCCTATGAAAAAAGCAAACAACTGCTCCAATTCTAATAAATCCTTGTATTCATTTTCATTTCATTATTCCAATCTGAATATTATTTTTTACATTAACATGTGCACATTAGTCATTCCATTAAGCATGATAACATTTTCTGCTTGTTGAACTTCCTTTGTAATTTAGCATTATCAGGTTTATAATGGAATTTAAATGATCACCATCCTTTACAAATGCTTGTGTAACTGGGCCTGAAAAAGATAATTGAAGATCTATTAATCCTCTTTATAAACCTACTGGAATATGATGGCTTCTTTTGTTGATCACAGCAGATAAAAAACCCATTTGGAGGACTCTTCTCTTGAAGATTGATTTATTTAGCGTATGGCAAATACATGGACTTATAGTAGTTCAAATGTTAATGTCCAGTCCATCCAGCCATTCAAGGACAGGGTGGTCTATGTTTTAAAAAAATCAGACATTGGGCCAGTGTAAGCACTTGATGGACATTCGGACACATATGTTGATACATAATGTGGTACACTACCAGATTATGTATTGGACACAATGTGGTAATGTGACTGTGGTGAGGAGCATCACAGTCACACTCAGGGGTAGAGACAAGACCCCACATCTTCCACACGGTATCGTAAACTGAAGTTAGGTCAATGAACACAGCTGTGGTTTTTAAGCCTCTCTGGAAACCAGCCTCAATATACCCTGTTAGGCCCATTTTGTTTATCTGTTGCCATGTATTTAGAGAGATGGAAATTCTACAAAGATGTTTGGCTGCCAACTGTCATTAACTGCCAATTCTTCAATGTAGTCTGGCTGCCAGTTGTTGCTAGTCATTTGGATCATACTACCGTGCCAGGGGTGGGTTTCAAAATTTGTTCGAACCTACTCGGTGGGCGTGGCCTCCTTTGTGGGTGTGGCTTGCCACCCATGTGACCGGATGGGAGTGGCTTGCTAATGCCACCGCTGCTACTGCCACTGCCGCTAATGCCGCCCCCGCCTTCGGCTGTGTAGTGCACGCAAGCCCACGGCACGCGAGCCCAAGGCCTTCCCTCGTGAAAGGTAAGCCGCCCCCCACTTCAGCTGCTACCGCTGCTACCGCCGCCGCCGCTACTGCCGCCGCCACTACCACCGCCGCCACTACCGCCACCGCTAATGCCGCTAATGTCGCCGCCGCTAATGCTGCTACCGCTAATGCCACCGCCGCTACTGCCGCCGCTGCCACTGCCCCCACCCACCTTCGGTCGCGTAGTACACGCGAGCCCGTGGCTTTTGCATAAGCTAGGCCGCCACCCCCCACTTAGCCGCTAACGCCGCTAACGCCACTAACAACGCTAACGACGCTAACGACACTAACGCTGCTAACGATGACGCCACTACTGCCACCGCTGCTGCTAACGCCGCTAATGCCGCCACCACTAACGCCGCTAACGCTAATGCTGCCGCCCCACCCAGCTTCGGCCGTGTAGTGCACGCAAGCCCGCAGCTTTCGTGAGCGAAGGCCGCCACCCACCCGAAGCCTCCCGAGTCCTGCTGCTTGGGCTTTGTTGCTTACCGGAGGGGGAAGCAGCAAGTGAAGGCTGAAGGGAATTTTCAAATGTAGGCCAAACGCGAAAAAAGCTTCGCTTCGCCTCCAGCCCGCTCACCGATTGGCTGGACTCCAGCCAATCGGTGAGCGGCAGGCTGGGCTTAGTGCGGGTGGGCGGGGGAGCGAGGGAGCGAGCTGCGGATGGGCGAGGGAATGAGCAACTGAGCTGCGACGCGCCGGCAAAAGGGCGCTTTGCAGCGACAGGGGCCAGGACCGGTACCGGTGTTCCTGGAAGTTAATTACTTCCGGGTTCACTGATGAACCGGTTCATGCGAACAGGGGAGAATCGTGAGGAACCCACCCCTGTACCGTGCTATCCAGGTGAAGAACTACCATCACACCCCTTCTCTTGAGGAACCAGAATAGAAAAGGAAATAGAGCTATAAAAGGCTTATCCTCATAGCCAGCTTGACTCATGTCCAGAATAGGCCAGCAATCATTTTTGGAGAGCAGAAATGGATGCCATTATCCTGACTTCATCCTCTACCCATCATGAATGTGATTACCAGGTTCATTTTCTCTTTCTGACCAATTTAATATTGTAAAACTTTCCGGACATGTAGAAAGTTTAGTTTGAAACTTGCTATTTTTTTACTGTTAATTTTTCCCTATTTTTTTCCTTTCTTCCTTCCTTCCTTCTTCCCCCCTCCCCTCTCCCTGCCAGTGATGCATTGTTTCTTCATTTTTCTAATCACTTGAAGTCTGCAGAAGACTTAGTTGACTTAAGCTCCACCTGATTACCAAATAAGTCTGAGTGATTAACAATATAGCAAAACTGGAAAAAAAAACTTAAAATACAAATGCAACACAAGATGAATCTACAGATGGACACCATACAAAAACATCTACAAAACACATCCCATAATCCAAAACCTGGGGAAATAGTCAAGTCTTTAAGGCCTTCAGTAATACTACCACATGGATCTAGGAAAATGGGGGGAATACCTGGAGTATGCAAAGTCTTTTGGTCCATATACAAAACATGGCAGATAGGCAGTCCCTCAAATAACCTAGCCTTATGCAAGTTTAGACTTTGTAGCAACAACCAGGACCTTGAATCATACCTGGAAGTATACTAGAAATCAGTATAGCTTGCAAAGTGGAGATGTCACATAGCTGCATGAAGAGATGCCCAGATTACCTGTGCCAGTGCATTCTGGACCAATGGAAGCTTCTGAATGGTCTAGTTGATTCGTGAGACAATTCCTCCCACATCCAGAACTGCATAGATTAGGCTTGAAAGATACAATTGGGTATCATATTCATGCTGATACCAAAATCTAAAATGGTGGGTGACCCCATTCAGTGCTTTCATGTGGTTATTAAACATGAAGAGAATCACATAAAAGGATTTTCCTAATTCTCAATCCCTACAGCCAATCTAGAAGGTTACTGTGGTTGACTTTATTAAAAGACACTGAAAATCAAGGAACACAAGGATGGATGGATTTCTTTATTTATTTGATTTTTATCCTGCTTTTATTATTTTTATAAATGATTGAAAGTGGCAAACATACTCCTTCCTCATCATATTTTCCCCACAACAACCACCTTGGGAGTTGGCTTGGGCCGGTGGTGGGTTTCAAATTTTTTTAGAACCTCTTCTGTAGGTGTGGCCTCCTTTGTGGGAGTGGCTTGCCAGCCATGTGACAAAGCAGGCCACACCTACAGAAGAGGTTCTAAAAATTTTGAAACCCACCATTGGTTGTAAGTAATTTTTTTCAGTTCCATTATATCTTTGAATGATAGCTGAATGAACAGTTGTAATTTGACAATTACCTATAGTCAGATATCCAACACAATTATGATTTGCCTAGAAAATAGTGTTCTTTTTCAATCCCCTAATTTTATTGCCATCTAAATTAATGTAGGCTAGCTTTCTTGAATTAGAAAGCACTCATATGATAAAGTCATCAATATGTAGTATCTAACTTCATATCTGCATTTTTCTTTCTTTTTCTGAAGTTGCATTTGCAAGCTTATTGTCAATAAAACTAGAATACTTGTCACTTCAAAGTTGGAACACTTAAAGAAAGCAGACAAGATACTGATTCTCCATGGAGGATGCTGTTATTTCTATGGAACATTTTCTGAACTTCAGGGTCAGCGACCCAACTTAAGTTCTGAGCTGATGGGATTTGACCACTATAATGCAGAAAGAAGAAACTCCATTCTTACTGAAACACTGCGGCGTCTCTCTATTGATAATGATGGCCTGGCTTCACGACATGACATGAAAAAAACATCTTTTAAACAAACATCAGATTTTACTGAAAAAAGGAAGAACTCTGTAATGAATGCACTAAATTCTAGCCGCAAGTTTTCTCTCATGCGAAAAACATCATTGCTGGTCAATGCTAAGGAAGAAGGCCTCGGAGAAGCAGTAGAAAGAAGGTTGTCTTTAGTGCCAGAGACTGAACAAGGGGAGGCAATTCTGCCTCGCAGCAATGTATTAAATTCAGGACCCACATTTAGAGGCCAGAGAAGACAATCTGTACTTAATTTAATGACCAGAACATCAATTCATCCAAATCAAAGCATTTACAAAAAAGGCAGCATATCAGGCATTCAACGACCTTCTGAAGCAGACATCTATGCAAGGCGTTTGTCTCGTGGCAGTCTGGTAGAAATAACTGAAGAACTTAATGAAGATGATTTAAAGGTATATATTCCAAGTTATTGTAGTTAAACGGTTGTATGTGGCCCTGTTTGTTGGATACCCAGCTTGGTATTGCAAGATAATATTTCTAATTCAAAGAATCATTAGCTTTTAGTTTAATATTCTTATACATTTATTAAGGAAATATGTACAAAAAAAGGGTACATTAGGGGAAATTGCATTTGGAAGTGTACTTTCATTTTTAAAGTAATTGATCCTGAATAGAAATTCTGTTTCAATAAGAATACATCAGGAGAAATCTCAAAGGGAAGTATTCCACCCTCTTTTAAAGAGCTGTGAATATGAATGAATAAGAGGGTAAAAATAACATTCTTAAGCATATTATTGTCTAAAAGAAAGCCGGAAACCGAAATTGTAAGCATATTCTCATTAATATGAGTTCTCATGAAAACCAATAGCAATAGCTTCTAGGCTTATACTGATGAAACCAATAGAGTACAAATAAGGAGTAGTTATATAGAACAGTCTAATTGTATTCTCCATTATTTTGCCAGGAATGTTTCTTTGATGATTCAGACACCATGAATGCAGTCACTTCATGGAATACATACTTCAGATATATAAGCATCCACAAAAAAATGATTTTTGTATTATTTATATGTTTTTTTGTTTTTTTAATTGAGGTAAGAGTATTATAATAATAAATTCTACTTTAAAATTGCTTATGTGACAATTGTAAAGAAAAGCTTTCTCATTTCGTAAATGCTGTACAAGATGTATAGAAGAACAGGACTCTTAATAAAAAAAAGAATGATAGAAACTTCCTTCCTTGGTCATTAGCCAAACTCCTTCTCTGCTGTGTTCACCTCCACTTCAAGTCTCCCCTCCCCACCCATTTTGCCCTTTATCTCTGCTCTTTTGGCTACTTTGCCACTGCCACCTGCATGTCCTCCTCAGTTGATTTTCACCGTTTTCTTCTAATGAGACATCCCTGGTCAAGGTACCTGCTAGAACTTTGCAGGGTATTCGTGAGGTCACCACAAAACTTCCCTTAAGCCTTTTGCAGCTTTCACTGGGGATATCCCAATCACTATAATTTCAAGGACCAGCCATAGCTCCCTTCATTTAGCATTGTCCTAAATTTGCACAGTCACTGACTGAATAGTAATTAAGCAAGGACTACCTATATAACAAAAACTTACCAAATGTATTGATACTTGTATTTTACAAGTTTATTATAATTTATGTTAAAATATTGCTATGGCTGTCTATCTTAAAACTTGGCAGCTCCCAGCAATAAATATTTAAGAAACTATAAAAACCATTAAACACATTAAAACCAAAAGGCTATCACCTCAAATGTAAATTTTTCACTATGTTAGCCTAGACACCAGGATATTTTGATACTGTTAACTTTTTAATTGAGTGATCTACATAAATACATAACTTAATATGCATTGGGAAAATATACATAGAGAAAATAAAATACAGAAATGTATACATTGGGAGAAACAAATGTGCAAACATATATACACGTTTATTCTTTTAAAAAAACCATCAAGCTAATATGGAAACAGGAAGAAATAAAATTGGGAACTGAGTGAAATTGAAATTGACAGATGCATCCAATTTTCAAGGGGCACTTCAACAGGCCTGTAGATAATAGAATTACAGCATCTGAAATAATTTCCTTGTATAGAATTATTAAATTGCAGTTTGGCAGTTCTGTTTTGTCACTTTATAAATTACAGTAACACTGGGCATAAAATCTTTGGCTGACTTTATACATGTTACTATCAATATGTGAACTTATACATTTTATAGAATGCTTGGGAAATATATATAATGCCAAAAATGGGACGTCTAAGTATGAATTAACTATCAATTTTCTATTTTAGGTGGCTGCTTCCCTGGTTGGGGTATGGCATTTCAGGGAGTGAGTATTTATTGCACAATGTTAAAGATTTGTTTATGTTATGTAACTCTAACATTTCAATGGGACTTAGTTTTAATATTTAAAGCCAAAGTAATTATCACATGTCCAGTTAGATGGTTGATCTCAACAAGCTAAGCCTGGTCTACTGAGCTGGTATGCTAGTAAATGCCCAGAACAAGCCATAGACATATCAGAAGATGATAATGGAAAACCATTTCCATTCCATTGTCATGGATGTCCCATGGAGTCATCAGCAGTTGAGCTCCACTCAAAGATTTTATCTTTTAGTCATAATATTAAATGCATAAATATAATTAATGCATGGCTTGTTCTGTGATATCAATGGTACTTTTGAGAAGGTTGAATAGAATTTCTCTCCTTCTCTCCCTGCCATAAAATGATAAAACTGCTATTTGTATTTCAAGATTCTCCATGAGCGCCAATTGGGCTCCCTTTAATTTATTCCTACATTTCAAATTTTCATCTGGTTGCCACTTTCATTTTTAAAAAATCTATTAACGGGAAACTCTTTTAATCCAGGCCTTGCTTAGTCTTACATGGATAATTCATTATTATTTGCTACAGCCCAATTCTGCACTTTTAAAGGTTTTTGTGCTTTCCAATTATTCTCAAAGATGACCTGCAGATGTCTACTAAAAATATATTCTGTGAATTCAGTGGGATTATTCCTATGTAAATGTATAAATAGCAGTTTTCCTGTTATCCTGGAATATTTTTTATCAAGTGTAGTAATATAATAATATTACTAATATAATAATAAATGAGGAATAATGCTAACAAGAAGAACTTTGACGTCTTATTTTAACTTTATAAGACATCAAAATTGCTGTTGTAATCATTATTATTTGGTTCTTTTCTACTACTTACGGTAATCATACATTCAAATCATGTCCCTTTAAAACAATCAATTTTATCAAAACAGCATTCTCAGAAACTATTAAATTGTGATTTCAATGCTAGTATGACATATCATGATTTGAAAAAATGAAACTCAGTATGTGACAGTAAATTTATGAATGACTATAAACTTATGTGTTTGTGTCTATTTTATAGATCTGCTCGTTTGCCTCACCCAAATACAACAGAATCAACAAACAACTATTCCTCTGAAGTACTGGGAAACAGTCCAGTTATTGTTACTAGCAATAGCAGCTTTTATATCTTCTACATTTATGTAGGGGTGGCAGATACCTTGCTAGCCCTGGGGATTTTTAGAGGCATACCCCTAGTACATACTCTTATAACAATTTCTAAAAAACTTCACCGCAAGATGCTTCATGCAGTACTTCAGGCGCCTATGTCTTCCTTCAACAAACTCAAAGCAGGTAACTAAATGTTATGCAATTGCAATAATTTTTACATGCTTAGGTAATATTAAGTTTAGGCAAAGGAGACATTTGTGATTTATTCCATCATTCAAAATTTGCAAACACTCTCAAAACAAGTTGCAATAATCAGTTTTAAAAAATCCAAAAATATTGTAGATAGACCATCTTTGATGAGGGATGCAGTCTGGATATTTAAGAATAGAAGGCATTAATTCTTAATCAAGGTCCATTACCCAGCTTTCACACATGTCTGCATATATTAGCATTGGCATTAGATCCTCTCATGCTATGTAGCATATTGGGCAGCATGTATGTTAAGGTGACCAGACGTCCCGCTTTTGGTGGGACAGTCCCAATTTTTAGCAATTTGTCCCGCATCCTGCGGCGTTTTAAAAAAGTCCCGATTTTAAGAGCGAAACGGAAGGCCACCTCCCGCAAGACTGCCGGGGACTCTGCAGGGCTGGGGACGCTTCCTCGAGGTGGTGGCAAATTTCTTTCCCTGCCAAAGTGCGCCACTCTAAGTGATGGACAATTTACCAGCCCCGAGGCAAAAAAGAAGACGGCGAGCAAAGCTAGGCAGGTGCCAATCACAATGAGCAGCGGGAAGACAAGCAGCGGGTGTTGTTGGCTCATGCAATAATATGACTCGTAGAGCCAGTCGCAGTGGGGGTGATGGCGGCAGCAGGCACACAGAGAGCCCCGCTTCGAGCCCTCAGGACCCCCGCAGCCTTCACCCTCAGCATAGGCCGGGGTATTCGCAGCGCCACACTCCAGCAACTACCTGTGCCACCTCATCGTTATTGCGCTGGAACCGGAGCAGCCGTCAAAGAAAGAAAAGAGCTCAAATGCTCCGGAGCAGCCAGACGCCTTTCTGGGTTTGCGCTGCGAAGCACGGAGAATGGCAGCAGCACCAGCAACCCCCAGCGGTTCTGTCCAAGCATGATGCGGGAGCGAACCGAGGAAAATGGGTGCACAGGGGTGCAGCGGCAGCAGCGAAGCAACTACCTCTTGGCTGAGGACATGCCCAAACCCTTCCAGTAGCGGGTGGGAGATAAGCGACTGAACAGTCGCCCAATCCTGAAATAATACCACTGCTGCCACCTGCAGAGCCACTACCACTGTCCAACCTCGAGGGAGGAGGAGGTGGGCTTCTTCTCCCCGCTTCCCTCCACTATGTTCTCAACTGGCTGCCCTCCCATCGGCAGCCGGGTTACCGAGAGGCTGGGCTGTCAGCCTCTGGGAAACCTGGCGTGTCCGAAGGGGGTCTGCATCTCGGAGGCATATGCAGAGCGCAGGTGTGGAAAGAGGCAAGGTGAAGTGAATACAGGGTGCGCGAAGGAGAAGCCGGTGCTCAAAACGATCTGATTATCTTAAAATTTGTTTTTTCTGAGTGGATGCCCCAGCGCTCGCTTATTTGGTCTGCTCACACACAATTTTGATTGGGAGATATGAGCCTAAAACCTCTTGGGTTTTTTTTTCTTTTTCTTTTGAAATACTGGATTGTACAGACTCAACCTGTATAGCTGAGCAGACGAACCCACTGCTGAATTAGCATTCGGCATCAAAGCTTGGGACAAAGATTGTGAGTTTGTTTCTTTAACAGAAGAACAACTTGCTCTCCTTCGATCTTATTTTTTGTTTAACCGTTATTTAGATTAGAAGTAAAACCTTGATTACCAGTATGTCTTATCTCCAAGTAGTGGATCTGGGGCAGTGAGAAAAAAGACACCAAAAAAACCCCGAGAACATAATAGCTATCTTCCAGTCCTCTCATACCGAAAGATCCTAAAGAGAACTAATATGATTGTGCTTACATACTACATTGAAGGAGACTGAGTCTTATAGACCAATTTTTTAATCAAGAACCCCCCTCCCCCGATCAGTGGTGTCCCG